GTGTTATGTTAAACTTTTAGGATGCTAATATTTTTTCGAGTGCATCAAAAAGGCAGGTGAAGGGTTAGCAAACATCGGTGACACCAAAAGTGAACCTGTAGAAAGTTGCTTGGGGTCAGGCGTGTGCGGTTCTGGTCTTTGATTTTTTACTGTCAGTAAAAATATTCTTTAAACTTTAAAGTGCCTTTTAAGAACTTAAAATATTTATAGAAAATATTTTGGTTCTAAAAAAAGAAACAGTAGAAGTATTAGAGGTGTTAATTGTGAGCTAAATTAAACGCATGTCATTAATTGAGGTAAATACCTATTAAATCATAACAGTTGAGCTACCAATTTGGGTTAATTATCGAGGGAAGTTTCATTGTTTAATAAGGTTAATGACTGATACATTTATACACCAGCCAAAAATGGGTTGTTTAATTAATTAATTTTGAACGTCAAGTATAGAATTGTAAAGACATGTACTTAACATAACCCAAAAACAGATTGTATGCAATCTGATCGTGCTGGCAATATTTCTTTAGCCAGCTGCACTTACACAAACTTATAGATAATATTACGTAATGACAACTGTTTTATCATCGCGGGAAATAATAACAAAAGATGCAGTTTGTTCAGCTGGGCTTATTCTATTTAGTTCGATTTATCGGTTGATCGAGGAGTGCCACTACTTTCGAACAGACAACAAAAGTCTTTGTATGTCCAGCGCTTAGTCATCGCCAGTAACTGATCGATAATACTACTTACTGACCACCGTATATAGATACACTGCAAAGAAACATCGGAACTCGGAACCTCTTAAACCCCATAGAGAACTATAGTTTCTAGAAATATCCCTTAAAGTTTATTCAATAACCCCTAAAACAATTTTATGTTGTAAAGGAAGTCCTAAACTTTTATTGTCGCATTTCCTTGTCTAATCGCGACTCAAACATTCATTATCTTGGTGGAATCAGATTTATGTTCTACAAGTTATAACCTAACTGAAATGACAATTGCCACATAATTCACTCGCTGATATAATGGCTATTAAAAAACCAATTACGTTTAAATACCGTGTCCCTCTCTCAGGTATTTTTTGCGCTCATTTTCCCATTATCTCTCTATAAGTTTACCCGTCGAGTGGTATTGCATTTAACCAAAAACTTTTTGATGCGTAAGCAATTTGTTAAAAGCGATTTTGGACTCTTGTGAATGGTGCGAAAAGGGTTGCCACGTCACGGGTGAAACCGGATATCAGGAGATGACTCAATTGAAACTTTTAACTATCAGTGCTTACATTAATTTATTTCAGTTTCCTTAAAAGATGATTCACTTTTGTATGTATTCCTTAGGTTATACTATTTTTAGAGATGATAAATAAATATATAAGGAATAATATTTTTAAATAGAAAGTTATAAGAATGAAATACAAAATAAATTAAAAAAGAATATCAACATAATTCAACTTCAAACGGAATCCCTAAGTAAGTAATATCGCTTGGAGTATAAGTATCTTAAAGAGGAGTATTTTTTAGATCTCAATGAGTTGATTTAGTTAGATTGGATCCTTAAAAGGATCTTTAATTGCCCTGCCCTTTTTGGCGACCTGGTAACCCTGAATTTTAAGAGAGCGGAAAATGAGAGCGGAATAATTAATATATCGGTGAAAGAAATGGAGCGAATGATGGAACTTATCAATTGCAGGAGAGAGTCCAAAAATCATAAAAACAAACTTATTTTGTTAAATTTTTTTTTAATTTTCTGCAGATTTTGTATACATTTTACTTACATGTATGGAGTTTTACTGAGTGAGTAACTCAGCTGGTTTTTTGTGATTCAGGATGACGCGTTTTTAAAAAGGTGTTTTTTACTCTCTCTTTTTTCTCTCTCTCCCTTGTGTCTCTCTCCTACTGATAAGGAACCGTTCGATTAAAGTGCTTTTTTTGCGTCTGTTTTTTTTGTGATAAAAGAAAAGGCATAAATAGTCCGTTCCACTGAAATACTCAATTAGTACTCAACTTTAGCTCGTGGAAAGCAAATCAGCAAAAAAAAGAAGGAGAAAGAAAGAAAGGAGTTGTTTTATTTTAAATAAAAAAGTAATAGCTCGAATCCTTGGCTCTCTCTTTTTGCTCTCTCGCGTCGCTCTCTCTCGATCAGTTTAAGTTCTCTTTCTTCCTCTCGTGTTTGTGAGTGTGTGTGTGTACTACCTGTGTGCAAATCAATTAATTTTTTGTTGTTTGTTTATTTTCGCAACGAAAACAAGAAGGAATTTAGTAAATAATAAAATTCATTTCGCGTGCAAATATACATTGGAATAATGGCCGATATTATCAACGTAGAGCAGCACCAAACCACCGAGGAGTTCAAGCAGAATCTCGAGGAGCTGATCCCCAATGTAGGTGGCGCCACCGAGGTGGATACAGTGGATAACCGCTAAGGCGAACGGGCAATTGATATATTAAAATAAACACAAAATAAGGGGAATGAAGTACTTACAGAAGTATTTATTTAAAATATTACTAACAAGTTCAATTATTTTTGGTTATTCCAGAAAATAATTTTTTTTAAATTATAATGATTTTTATGAATTTACTAGTGTCATATGAAAATTTGCATCATCTTTAAAAACTATCCCATTTTTGTAACTAAAAATTGGTTTGATCATTCAAAAAATGTTGCCAAAATGTTAGTTCAATTACGATATTTTTGTTGAAATAAAGAGGCGAACTGTATTTTTTTTACTCACAATTCACGTAATCACTCCCTCTCGATTTTGGTTTTTTTTTTTTTTGTTCCTGCCCTATCATTTTTTCTCGGGGCACTTTATGGCTTTTTAATCGATAACACCGACAGGTGACACGCATACCAATACCCATCAGCGGGGCCTTTACAGTGAACACCTCCGATAAAGAGCACGCGCCCCAACTGACCCATAGAAACCCCCCTCCCCTATAAATATACTTATATAGGGAAAATCAAAATCACTTCCGTTCGATGTCAGTCATATGCATGTTGGCCAAAAATATTTCCCTGCTATCAGCCAATTCGATATTCCCTCTTTTGGCCAAGGACAAACAGCACCATCGATGGTTTTGCGGTTTTCCCCCCTCGAGAACTCGAGGACCGCCCATCATATCATTACCATATACGTAATCGAGTGCTGTTTTCGATTTTATGTTCGCTTTTTGGCGCACAGAAATTTATCTTATCGACAAACAGCAAAAGCGGAGCAATCAACGCACCACTACCAAACCGAGTTACCAACCAATGAGCCATAAATTCCACAGTCCAGTATATACGACGATCACCCTGGCCCCTTTTTCCGTCTATTTTCCTAATTTCGCATACGCGAAATGGCACAAAATAGCGTACCTTTTATGAGACCGCCTGGCTAAATATTTGGTTTTTCCCAAAATTCGCATTTCGGTTTTGTTTCCCGGAAATTTGCAATATTTTGGAGGTCTTATGGAAACTAACAGTGATCACTATGGATTGGGTAGTTGAATTCTAGATCAATTTTTTCGCACAAAAGCATAACATATATGTATATGTGATATAATATATGATATAAAATGGTATATACTTTCTCAATGAAGTAAGACATCAAAAGGTTCGGGATAAATTTGTTTGTTTCCAAAGAATTAATTAATTTATCATAATATTATTGAGTAAGGTTAGTTTTTAATAACTTCAGTAAGATAGTTTATACTGAAAATAACCGTTTCTTTTCCTCATAACAGTTTTTAAAACAATTTAAAGTGCTACAAATGCAATAATTTCCTTAATTTTGGAAGTTTTAATATTTTTTTAACAACCTTTATCAAAATCACATATTATTTTGATTCAAATTTGAAACTAAAATCTATAAAGCTCCCCAAAGCTCCTTCTTATCAAAGATATTTCCAGCATATTGACCAATAATCTCGTTAAACCTTTAAAAATGACTAATCAAATTTATGCTTGTGGTGAAACCGAAAAAATCAAGACTAAGTGGACGTAACGGTTTGATTAAATTGCTTTTATATATGATTTCTTAAACTTGCGAAGTACAAGAAAGGAAACCATTTGGATTAAAAATTGTATTTAAAACGGTTGCCTTTTAGTCATTTATTTATTTTTATAAGAAATATTTAAAAGATTTTTGTAATTAGGCGGTTAGCCTCTTAAGTATGTATTTTCAAACTGATTCATCGGGTGATTTACAAAATTTTGTTTAGGCTTTCACTTCTTTAGTTTTTTTCCAAGACTCTTCAATTACTGGGGTATTTTTTTTGGGGCGCCCACTCACGCTTTTGAACTGTATAATTTGAAACGAGCAATTTTCGATAATCAGCGATATGTCAGTCAGGTGAAAGATAGTGCCCCTCTCGAGTTGGAAACTGAAAAGTGGAAATTAAATTCGATAAGACCGGCAAATAGACTGTTCTGCGATAAGGTTGCGGGAGATGGAAATACGATTTAGCATACTGAATTCCGCAGATAAAACAGGTGGGGGCATTGGAATGCGGCCGTGTGTTTGGCTATCGGATTTGATTGATGAATCATCGATCGATCGGGGCGATCGGCGGTTCAACTTACTCATGACCGAGGATTACTCATAGATCTCTCCTCTTTCTCGGTTGATGTGCCCTCTCAAGTCATTTTCAGTTCCGAGAAGGCCAGGAAGCTAAATAATGAATAAGTGAAACTATTAAAAGGTCAACAGTTGTTCAAATAAAATTATCATTTCTTTTTTTTTTTTAACTGAAACTGAAATGAATAATCACTGATTATCGCAATAGTCACTGCTACCATTTGTTTATTTATATTTAGTATGTTTCACAAGTTCTAAATAATCCTTTATCATTTTTGTTTTGGTGGTTTTTAAAAATTTGGAATGAATAAGTCCTACAAATCAAATGTTTTTCTGGAATATGTGAGATTATAAAAAAGTTTTGGAGTTAGGAAATGTAATTTTAGAAAATTTATAATAAATTCCATATATGTAACATCCATACTAATAAAAATCCCTCTTCCAGTTGGATGCCAACAAGGATGGCTTCATCGACCTGCACGAGCTGAAGGATGCCCTCAATCAGGTGGGCTTCAAGCTGGCCGGCTACCAGGTGCGCGAGATGATTGATGAGTACAAGGGCAAGGGCAAACAGACCGCCTTCCAGGGCAAACTGAATCTGGAGGAGTTCGAGGCACTGTGCCTGGACCTGAAGAGCAAGGATGTGGCCAGCACATTCAAGACCGTCGTCTCCAAGAAGGAGAATCTGGAGACCCTTGGCGGCATGTCGAGCATCTCGTCCGAGGGCACCACCCATTCGGTGCGCCTCGAGGAGCAGCTGGCCTTCTCCGACTGGATCAACTCGAATCTGGGCCATGACAAGGATCTGCAGCATCTGCTGCCCATCGACAGCGAGGGCAAGCGCTTGTATCTGAGCATCAAGGATGGTATTCTGCTGTGCAAAATCATCAACCACTCCTGCCCGGACACAATCGATGAGCGGGCGATTAACAAGAAGAACCTCACAGTCTACCGGGAGTTTGAGAATTTGACCCTGGCCTTGGTTTCCTCCCAGGCTATCGGTTGCAACATTGTGAACATCGATGCCCACGATCTGGCCAAGGGCAAGCCGCATCTGGTGCTGGGTCTCCTCTGGCAGATCATCCGCATCGGTCTGTTCAGCCACATCACCCTGGACAGCTGTCCGGGATTGGCTGGCCTACTCTTTGACAACGAACGTCTCGAGGATCTGATGAAGATGTCGCCGGAGGCCATTCTTCTGCGCTGGGTCAACCATCATTTGGAGCGTGCTGGCATCTCGAGGCGATGCACCAACTTCCAGTCGGACATCGTCGATTCCGAGATCTATTCGCATCTGCTGAAGCAGATCGCCGGCAATGATGCCGATGTCAATCTGGATGCTCTGCGGGAATCGGATCTGCAGTCGCGGGCAGAGATTATGTTGCAGCAGGCTGCCAAGCTCAACTGCCGCAGCTTCCTCACGCCGCAGGATGTCGTCAACGGCGTCTACAAACTCAATCTGGCCTTCGTCGCCAATCTTTTCAACAACCATCCGGGATTGGACAAGCCCGAGCAGATCGAGGGACTCGAGTCCATCGAGGAGACGCGCGAGGAGAAGAGTAAGTATTCAAAATAGTCGAATATTGTTTGATATATCTTATTAAGTAGTTTTTCAAGTGTCTATATAAGTATACAAAATTTGACAAATAGGGTTTTCAAATATTTTTTTTATAATATTAATCAATAATTAAATTACGAAATAAATAAAACAAGTGGAATGCTTTTTTTAAACCATTATAAAAAAGGTATTGATGAGGAAAAACCAGGCAATAATGTTTATTTTTAAAGAAGTACAGATATCAACGACCAAGGCATTAATTTTTAACATGAATAAAGCATTTCCTAAAAATATAAAGATAAATTTTATCAAAAAGCTCTGAACAGGAAGTGCAAGCCATAAAAACTGAGAAATTTGTAGTCAAGAGACCATTTATCAAAAGAGTTAAATCTATATATAAAGAACTTAACTTCTGAGAAGTATTCCGAAGGTGTGTTATGTTCCAATATTTCTAAACAGTTAACTTAAAGTTTAACAAGGATCTGTAATATTTAGTGTGTGGTTTCCATTATTTACTAATTAATTCTTTTTCTCTTTTCCAGCCTACCGCAACTGGATGAACTCGATGGGCGTGGCGCCGCATGTGAACTGGCTGTACTCCGATTTGGCCGATGGTCTGGTCATCTTCCAGCTTTTCGATGTCATCAAGCCGGGCATCGTCAACTGGAGCCGTGTGCACAAGCGCTTCAGCCCGCTGCGCAAGTTCATGGAGAAGCTGGAGAACTGCAACTACGCCGTGGATCTGGGCAAGCAGCTGAAATTCTCGCTGGTCGGAATCGCTGGCCAGGATCTTAACGATGGAAATGCCACGCTGACGTTGGGTAGGCATTAAAATTCAATGGGGAAATGCAATGAGAGTCTAAATCCTTGAAATTCCACCTTCATAGAAGCTTTGCTGGGATTCCTAGCTCTTTTTGCTTTCCAAATTTAAATGTAAACGCTAATTCTCTATGTAATTATTATTACAGCCCTCATCTGGCAGCTAATGCGCGCCTACACCCTGTCCATTCTGTCCCGCCTGGCCAACACCGGCAACCCCATCATCGAGAAGGAGATCGTCCAGTGGGTCAACAACCGATTGACGGAGGCTGGCAAACAGTCGCATCTGCGTAACTTCAATGACCCGGCCATAGCCGATGGCAAGATCGTGATCGATCTGATTGATGCCATCAAGGAAGGCAGCATCAACTACGAGTTGGTGCGCACCAGCGGCACACAGGAGGTGAGTTCCGAAAACGTTGCTCAGATGGTAACCAGCAGAACTAACGCCTATCTAATCCGCAGGATAACCTGGCCAATGCCAAGTATGCCATCTCCATGGCCCGCAAGATCGGCGCCCGCGTCTACGCCCTGCCCGAGGACATCACCGAGGTGAAGCCCAAGATGGTGATGACCGTCTTCGCCTGCATGATGGCCCTCGACTACGTGCCCAACATGGACAGTGTGGACCAGAACAACCACAACAGCTCCGCCAACAACAGCAATTAGGCGCCACAGCCACAACTCAATTATACATAAACAAAAGGACGGAATTTTGATGGGGATGAAAAGTGGGAACTACGTATATTTTTCGTATTCGCTAATTACTAATAACTCTATTCGATTGCGTTCCTTCCTGCGCTACCAATACATTTTTTGTGTTTTTTTTTATTTCGATTACTTTTTGTAATTTTTTTTATTATATATTTATATATTATATACTTGAGTATGAGTTTTTCCCCCCCTATTGTAATTAAGCAAACAGATTTTAGAGTGTCGCGCATCTGTTTCCGAGCCCGGCGAGATGTTTCTTTATTAGTTTTGTTTAACAATTGTTAAATTATACAACTGTAACCTTATTTTATAAATAGAGGTTTTGCTTTTTCCGCTTTAAATCCTTAAACAAAAAAAAAAGAATTAGGAAACGAAAGAAACAAAAGAAACAAAAACGAAGCGACAAAGTTTAACGTGCAAGATTAAGAGAGAATTATAATATTAACATTGCGACGAAAACAATGAAAACAATTAAATTTGTAATATATATACATATATATTTATATACGATTACGATATGCGCCTATATACATAATATATATTTACATAAATCGATATATTTTTGCATAAATACGTTGCCTGAAGGGGAGATAATGAACGAAGATCGGGTCCGGGAATATCCAGAAACAAAATAGATCGAGAAAAAAAACAGAGTAAATAATTTTGTATTTAATATATATTTTTTTGCAAATAATTGTAAGCCGCTTTTGTTTATGTTTTTTTCCAATGCGTGTGTTTATTCTATTTCTTTTTACATATTTGTATAATTTTGCGTTTAAGTGCGTTAGAGCGAGGTGGCAATAGGTGGCGCCAACATGGCGTAGAAAGAGAGGGCAACAAACATTTTTTAGTGCAATGAGGCGACATACAAATCCAAGAGAAAAAACGAATTAAGAAAAAGATGAAGTAATACTATATGCATAATACAAGTAAAACAATAAAGTAAATCTAAAAAAAGACTAAACTGGTTTGTTTATCACTGAAATTATACTTGGAAAGTACAGAGAGGTTTGGTATGAGTATGGTAAATCCAGCCGTTCACTTTATTTGGGAAACATTATTATATATATTCCTCTAATATTCATTATGTTTTTGACACAAGTTTTTTATTTTTAGAAACAATTACTTGCAAAAGATTCTTATCGTTCTCTTAGCATATTTATTTTATTTATACAATTGAAATGCGTTGGACTTGTAGAAATCCCTAAAGCCCTAACCGCTCATAAAAAGTTGTATTATATTAAGTGTTTATCAAATAAGAGTGGAGGAAAGGTCTCCCATCGATGACTCATTTAATAGTCTGCACCTTATACCTTATGTGCTCTCATGTGAGCTACTACTTTTCTTGGAAATAGTCGTACTAGAGATTTAAAAGCCGAAGTTTTTACGGCTATGCGTGTATAAAAACCATGTCGATAAGGTCTTCTATAATAGATGTCTTTGGTATTTCGGACCCTCCATTTAATCGGACAGCTTATCAGATAAGACGCTTCTCACGTGGCAAAAAAAATCGAGTGGAAATCAAATCGTCTTACATTTGACCAGCAATGATAACGTTGTACACCTACAAGTGTAGAATTGAAGCAAACAATGTCATTCATGGGAACCCTCGGATTCGAATGGCCGGTGATTGCAATTGGGACCAATAAAAATAGTGTCATTGCCAGTTTGCCGATCACTTAGTAAATTTATTTATGAAAAGAAAGTAAAAACACCTTAAAAAGAATATGCGTAAACAGAACTTAAGATTAACTTTAAATGAACACAATGCAATTAATAAATACTACTTAATAATAGTGGAAAATAGAGGTATGACATTAAATGATCAAAAAATGCTAAATCAATAATTTTTTAACATATTTAGTTTGGTTTAGTTTAATCTTTTTTAAACCGTTTATTTTGTTTAATTTTAAAGTTTATTTTCTTTCATTTATTTGTTAAGCCAAAAAGTAGGCAAAAAAATACTTTAATAAATTTTTTCAAGCTTAAGCTATATTCTAATAACATATTCAGCCTAAAAATATAATTTAAGAACCACTTTTGGTAACCTATTGCCATAGGCCTTTAAGGCCATCCTTATCTCTTGATTATTTTGTTTTTCTTTATGTGGTTTCTTAAAGTATAGTGATAGATAAATTCGATGTCCGATTGATCAATAGGCTTAGGCGTTATCAGGGCGTCAATGTGACTAGCCCAAGTTATAATGGGCCTTAACCCTATTTGTAACCATGGGTTATGTCTGCAATAAAAAAATACCTCTAACAATATAATTATAAATCGAAACCACCAAATACATGAAATATTATGACTAAAGAAACAAGACTGTAGAGAAAAGTAAGGGATGTAGTTATTCCTATGTGTAAAAGTATTACATTTTTTTATGTGAAAGAGAAGACGGCAAATAAAGGGTTAAGGAACACAATCATATAAAAGGCCTACCTCAGAAACAGTAGCTAATAGTTTTGTAAAAAGAACGACAACATGAAGTACACCATTCTTTTCTTGGCTGTCTGCCTAGTCTGCGTAAGTTAGCAACTGGAAAACTAACATTAATTGCGTAATCTTTAAAAATATTCAAACTCCAGGTAAATGCTTTGGTAGTGCCCTTTTCCAACGAGGATGCCTCGCAGGATCTGGTCGATATTACCGATGGCAATGTAGAGGACTTCCGCCTGTTCAACTCTGCCTACAGGATCTTAAAGGTCACCCTGCGTAGCCTCAAGGGATTCAATTGCATTATCAAGTGGGTGGAGGGCATTAAGGCCAGTGCTTTCCAGTTCAACGCGAGCGTGGTCTCCTGTGGCGTTACCGCCAGCAAGGATGTGACCAACCTGATCAACGCCAATGCCCAGATCATTAGCACCTGCGACGACATCATCAATCTGAAGTCGAAGACTTGCGCCCTGGTGGAAGGCGAAGAGCCCAAGATTACCAACAGTTGCTTCTCCAAGACCCTGGCCAAGGTCTGGACCCTGAGGAAGCAAGTTAAGAAGGCCGTCGCACTGGCCAAGAAGATCCCACAAACCGGACCAAACGCCGCCGTCTGCGTAAACGATGCACTCAACACCCTGATCGCCTACTACACCGAATTCCCCCAGAACATGATCAACTGCTCCAAGCTCACCTCTTAGAGGGTTTACTATCCAAAACCCATTTAAGCATACAATAAAAAATTCGTGGCGAATACAACTTTAGTGCTTTAATTGTCTTCATTTAGTGGAAAATATTCTACTTCACTGCATAGCAATCTTAAATTCAATGCCACAAGTATATTTTACAATAGGGCATGTACTTGAAATGCCTATGTAGGTATGTAGGTTCCTTAACCGATTTATATATACTCGTATATATAAATGTATATAGTTTCTTACAGTGGCGGATCTAGGATTTCGATGTGGGGGAGTATATAAAAGGAATTTGTTGAGTAGAAATCAAAAATTTTATATACATATAATATAATAAAATATTTTAAGTGTAATATCCCATTTATATTTTTTCGGTTCTACTTTTTATTCACCATACCCCCTCCCTCCGTGGATCCGCGCATGGTTTCTTATATACTGCTTAGAACTTTGTGCACATTATCGCAAGATACATACTTGTGATAACTTATTAAAATTCCGTGTTGTTTGTGCCCTATCTTCAATATAATTGTGCAAGTGTCTGCATATATATTTGTGGAATTTCCAATTTCCTATCTATAGCTACCTTAATGCCTTTCAGCCCAGCTGATCAATTAAACAATAAGACACTGTTCTGATAGGCCAAATCGATTTGCGTTTTTAATTTGGTTCTTTGTGTTCTTTAACCTTATAGAGGGTATTCAGGCGTGTGTTCACAAGCTTTAAGTTATGTTATATGTCAGTTCATATGTTCTAGATTAGACTAGTTGATATATTTTTCTTGTGCACGAAATTTTAATTTAGTTTTACAATGGTATGGATTTTCATTAAAATACTGTACTAAATGTTTATAATGAAAAGAGTAAGGGGTATCTGATAGTCGAGGCAATTGGCTAAAGCGTTTCTTCCCATTTTCATGTTTTGTAATCAACTGTTGGATTAGAGAAATTCTTTAGTCCCAACTTTCGAAGGTAAATTGCATCATATTTGTCTCTAGGCAATTGTTTGCTTACTTTAATCCTTTATATTTATTTTACAATCGTATGGATTTCCATTACTTTAACAAATATTTTTCTATATATTTACTGTAATACTAAAAATATTATTTAATATTTCATAAATTAATTTTCTTAATAAGTAAATTCTTTATCTCCATTAGACAAAAGCTAGCTGCGCGAATTATTAAAAGTTCTAAAAGTTCTCCAACAAAAGAAGCGTCTGTACTTTTTGTTTGCTACCATTATAATTAATTATAAACAAAAAATAATAAGTGAAACTTACTATCACACAAAATTGATAAAAATTTAAGTGTGACAAAAACAACATTTTCAAATAGATATGATTACTTTAACCTAGGACCGTCTATATTACATAGACAAGATGTTTAATAAGATAGAGTCTCTCAGTCGTTTAATAATTTTTAACAATTTCTTTGTTCTTGGTCAAGGTTATTCCTTAGTTCCAATTTAAGCACTTTATTATATGGAGATGGAGACTGGTAACATTTCCAAGAGTTTTGTTTTGTGGTGAACTTTGAAATAAAATACTGGGAGCAACAGTCCACCAGCAATTGAGCAGGTGAAGCATCGAGAGTGTTTCCAAGATATGAGTATTCCTATCTGGGGGCGATCTGCCCCAACTACCACCTACTACTGGAAGAAGCCCCAAGCTAATCTGCCTATCTGGCATAGATAATGCCAATTAAGTTTCGGACTTTGGGTGGTGCGGCTTAATTAAACCATACATATCATTGGCATATTCATTTACGAAAGTATAAGTGCAAATCGGAGCAGCCGGATCGCCACTTAACTGATATGGCACTGGCGAATCTCCTATATAAACAAACCCTACGGTTCGTTTACCAAACATTCACCAGTTAAACCATCCACCAGCAACATGAAAGTGATCAGCCTGTGCCTTCTCGTCGTGGCCTCGGCCAGCTTCCTCCTGACCACCGTCAACGTAAGTCACCCGGTTGCCAGGGAACTCTTCCAACAATACTACTCCAATAATACATAACTCAAGTGCGAACGTCTGAAAGTTAATAAAACCAATGTGTGACAAAAACAAAATATTACAGAAGAAGACTGTAATAACGAAATTATATTTTTTTTACCTTTTTTTTAAACAATATTTTGGTGTCAACAAAAAATATTCCCAGAACTGGGTCCTCCACATACAAAAATGTATGAATAATATTTGAAAAACCCTGTGTAAAAATATGTTTTTTAAAATATTCTATAAGAAATTCAGTTGTGATATAATAATATAGAAGGGGCTTAAAGTATAGATCTTGAAGCTTACATTTTTGTTATTTTAAATTGGTTCACTTACAAAAAATTAAAGTTTCAAGTAATATACTTAAAATCAGCTACATTTATTATTATAAAACATTTTTACCCGAATATAATATTACTTTTGGTTTTTCATATTTTTTAACCCTTACCTTTTTTCAGGCCAATGCCGTGGATGCCTTCGAGGACTTCGAGCATTACACCGATGCCGAGCTTGAGGAGATGATCGAAAACGAGTTGCTCGACCTGGACAACGACTATATGGGCGTCGAGGAGTTCGGCTTCATCCGAGAGGTCAGGAAGATTGTGTGGGCTGGCTACAAGGGCGTCAACGGCACCAAGTGCCTCGTCGAGGAGGTGGCCAATGTCCTGCTCGTCTGCACCAGGTACGTCGACGACCTGGCCACCTGCACCGGCAACATCCCGCGGGACGTTAAGCTGATGCTGAACAACGCCAAGCAGATGATCGTCATCAGCGACAGTATCATCCACCTGAACTCCAAGCTCTGCGCCGCCAAGAGCAGGAGCGTCGGCTCCGCCGTGATGAGCGCTGCCCATTGTTGCAAAAATTTGTCAGTCGCCACCATGAAACTCGCCTACCGCATTAACTTAATGCTTAAACTGGGCAATCATTTCCCCACAAAAACCGCCACCTGCTACACCGAAGCCACCAGCAACGTGGTCGCCGGCTGCAACGCCTTCTTGCCCAACTGCAAGACCTGCATCGCCAGCATGTCCTAAGCAATGTCAGAAGTTGGTAATAAAACCATGAGATTATAAGCAAAGCATACGAACTTCTTCTGATTTCGGGGGCATTCGGTATGGGGTCTGCCACAAATGCTATCGATCCCCATCACTTTAAGGAACATTTATTTTTTGACTCATTTTCGCATTTTTAATAAGGGGGTACATCGGTTATTTTTGGGACTCAGATTTTGGTCAAAAATACTCATTTTTTAGTGGTTTTTTAGTCGTAGTTTAGCCAAATCAAGGCATACAGCTAAAAGACCGACTGTTTTGAGCAGCTTGCTACAAATGCTAACGAGCCCTATCACTTTGAGGAACATTTATTTTTTGACCCATTTTCGAATTTTTTATAAGGGGGTACATCGGTTATTTTTGGGATTTAGATTTTGGTCAAAAATACACATTTTGTAGTGGGTTTTCAGTCGTAGCTTAGTCAAATCAAGGCGTACAGCTAAAAGACCGACTGTTTTGAGCAGCTTGCTACAAATGCTATCGATCCCTATCACTTTAAGGAACATTTATTTTTTGACCCATTTTCGCATTTTTTATAAGGGGGTACATCAGTTTTTATTGTAATTCAGATTTTGGTCAAAAATACCCATTTTGTAGTGGTTTTTCAGTCGTAGTTTTGCCAAATCAAGGCGTACAGCTAAAAGACCGACTGTTTTGAGCAGCTTGCTACAAATGCTATCGATCCCTATAACTTTAACTTTAAAAAAAAATTAGGCTTTCTTATCCTGATATCAAAATATGAAATATCCTTTCTCGTTGAGTTCGTAAAAAAATAGGATTGATTCAAGCATAGACAAAATATCAACTGGAAATCATATTGGGGTATTTTTTAATTAAGAAACAAATCACTAGTTTTAAATTATATATATATTTATTGATTCGTTCGTTCGCTTGTTTATTTATAGATGTAATATGTATTTATGTAATTAATAATAATATTGTTTGAGCCGCGTATATAAAAACAAATAACAATAAAAAAATGCTTAACCAAGACAATTAAATTAATGCCATTACTTAGTAAATTCAAGCCGAGTCGCAAAAAAAATAATAAAATAATGAAGAGTAAAAATGATAAAAATACAACACCGAAATAGAACTTAAGGACAGCAGTTAAGATAAGACATATACGGTTGATTCGCCTTGCGATACTGCACCCTAGGAATAACAATATTCTTTTTGCCACGAAAAAAAAAACATCGAGTACAATTAGGCGTAATAATAGGGGGTTATGATAATGCATATAGTACAATGTAAGTAGCTACAACTTAGGCTTAGTTTTTATGGTTTATATTTAGGTTTTCTTTTTTTTTATAATTGCACATGCTTTAAGTTATTCAAAAAAAAAAAACAAAAAAAAAATGCACCGCTTGGGAGTCGAGTGATAGGATGGGTTTTTGGGGTCACATATATGGGGGCTTAGATCAGGCTGAGGCGACTGTTGGTCTTGCGCAGCTGGGCGCGCCACGGAATGATGTTATCCTCTTCCTCCTCAGCGTGTCCCTGGCTGCCGTCTGATGATGGCTCGAGAAGCTCCTGGACTCCACCGACGCCACCGCCATTGCCGCCCTGCTCCAGATCCTGATCCTGATGAATGCCCTTTAGATCGCCATGGTTCTCCTTGTTGCCCAACTGGAGCTGCTGATGCTGTTGCTGTTGCTGCTGCTGCTGATGCTGCTGTTGCTGCTGCTGCTGGAACTGGATCTGCTGGTAGTGCTGCTCCATGCCGGCCAGATTGATGTTGATGTTGTCGATGGACATGGCGCGGTTCTTCAGTCGCCAGGTGTCCGCCACCCGGTTGTTCTCCTCCACCTTGGGCGTGTAGATGGCCGCCCTAGAAGAAGGTCAGACAGTTGAGGCCAGGGGTCAGGAGACTCCCCACTAGCCGCACACCCACTTACTTCAGCTTGTTCTCCGTCTCCTCGCGCCGAGCCAATAGGTCCCGCTTCCATTGGGGAATCTGGGAGAGTCGGCGCGACTCCGCCTCCTGGGCCATGCGCTCCTCGAAGTCCTTCTTGGCCCGCTCGGCCGCCTTCTTGGCCATCATCTGACGCTTCCAGTCGGGTATGGCGTTGCCGGCCTGATCCCGTTCCGGTATCTGCAAGTAGATCTTTGTCCCGCCTCTTAGCCACCGATCGCTTGGATACCCCTCAGCTGGCATCAGCTGGATAAAACTCACCTGGTCCACATAGTTGTTGCCCGAGAACTGCTTGGTGATCTCCATATAGTGCTCCGAGTCCACCCGATTGGCCATCTGCTGTTCCACCTTCATCTTCTTGATGCCGGGTATGTCCTTGGAGATCTTCAGCTCGGCAATTAGGTCGGACTTGAGATAGGTGTCCGTGCTGGAGGTCAGACACTGCATGCTCAGGCTGCGCGCGGGCATCTGGTAGGGCTTCGGCACCTTCTGTGTGTCCGTGCGGCGCAGCTGGAACGGATTGGGTTTGGAAACGGGTGAAAGGTGAGTACTGTAGACTTGTTTTCTCTTCCGACTTAAATATAAGGGAGTGAAGTGATTGAAGAACAGGTTTTTACATGTGTTATTTTTGAAATATTTAGGAATAGATCTGAATTTTTTAAAAATTTACCTTTCTACATGCCTACTATTTATAAATTTAATAAACTTGTAGTCTTATTCTAAATTAAGATATCATTGTGTATATACTGGGGCACTTTTGTTAAACTGATCTCTATGATTATGGACCATTTAAACCTTTATATTTACTAAATGGCCAATGGGACCTGAACGCTCACCTGGACGCTGTTCAGATCCTGAATGGAGATGGCCGACAGTGGCTGGTGCTGCTTCCTGGAGGCCGTGTCCTGGCTGTTGGGCGCCGATCCGTGCGGCTTCTTGGGCTTGTGCGATTTGCCATTCATGGTGGCATCCTGGCCGCCTGCTCCGCCCATTGGCGGACCACCCATCGGTGGCTGCGGCGGCAGCATTCCATGGGGCAGCGGTGGCGGCGGAGGAGGCAACGGCGGCTGCTCGCCCATTCCATGCAGCTGGTGGGGGTGGTGTGGATGTGGGTGCTGATGCGGATGGGGGTGGTGCGAATGTGGATGGGGATGTGACTGTGGATGCTGCGAGTGGAGCTGCGAGTGGTGCACCTGCTGCTGCTGGGCGATCTGTATCTGCATGTAGTCCTCCGTGTCCGTGGAGCTGTGGGTGAAAAATAACGAGGTGGATTAGAAAGAGATCTTTGCTTTCTTGACTTTCACTGGCAAACGGGAGGTGGGTGGTGTGTGGTAGTTGGTGAATAGTGGGCGGTGGGCGGACCTGCGCCAGGCGTGGCGTGTGCGCAGTATCATCTTCGGATTGCAACTGAGTTGCAGTGGCAGCTGCAACATCGCAACTGTGGCAAGAAAAGTGGCAGGCCGCAAAGTGGCACGCATAAAATTTCATGCACTCTTGAGCGGCAGAGGAAGTGGCGAATCTCTAAGCTAAAGTGCTGCACATCTAGCTTTTTATATTGAGACAAGCTTAAGATATTTTTATGGTGAATTCTTTAGAGAGTGCAAACAAATCCTTTAATAAAAATTAATCAAATATTATGATTTGAATTAAGGAAATGCCACCATTAAAACTGATACAAAGTTAAGTATCTTTAAAAATATATATATTTTAGAAATTGGAATATTTGTTTTTAAAACTGTTAGACAATAAACTCCTTTCAAAGTAAGTGGATTGTTTTTAGTATATATTTTTGAAAGGCTATTCCTTTTAATAAATGTATTTTATGTTATTAGATTATCATAAAAAATGTAATAAAGCTGTCCTCTTTTTTTGAATGTAATATTTCAGTTAATTAAATTATAAATTTATAGATCCAGATCCAAATTATCTATGCGATGAAACCTATTATGAAAACACTAATTTTTATATGAACTATGGAACTTTAGTTAGATTTTCTCTAGCTATTTTCCCACTGAATATAGCCCGCAGCACTGGGATCTAGCCATCTGCTAGCTGCTAATTGCCCAGCGGCAGCCAACCGTCTTTGCAGCCATGTATATTATTTTATATGTTATTTTTTTCGGATTTTGGCTAATTGAGGCGAGGCAACTGTACTGCCGATACTAATTATAAAAAGCCGCTGCACGAGATGTTCAGCCAAATTAAATCGCCTGCCATGTGCTAATTGAAAGACGGAGGATGGAGGATATATATAGATATCTAGGGGGATCTGGGGAGTCGGATGACTGGTGTCGGGTAATCTGGGGGATAACCACTCACCGGGCGGAGGATGGACACGAACGCTTGTCGATGCTGATGCTCTTGAGATACTCGGACGGCTTGATGAGATGCGTGACGCCGTCTTGTGATTTATTGGGAAAACTGGGCGGCACAAACGGCAGCACCAGCTGCTTGTTGACCAGATTGGGTCCACCGGTCCGTTGTCCGCCGGCCAAATGGGTTTCCCCATAGATCTGCTGCTGGGTGAGCTCGTAGTGGTCCTCGGCGGAGGAGCCTCCACCATACAGGCTGGGTGTGTACTGATGTGGCTGGCCAGTTGGCTGATAATGCGGCTGTTGATAGTTTCCATTCCCATTGCCATTCACATTGCTCCTTTGACCCTTGGGTCCCTCCGAATAGCCATAGAAATGGGCATTGTCTGCGGCTCTATTACCATTTGCATTGCCATTGCCAGCATTTCCAGCTCCTCCGGATCGGGACTCCTCCGGATTGACGGCACTAACGCCATTTGTGCTGCTGGCATTAAGCAGCTTGGCTTTCTTGTTCGCTGGAATTGAACCAATTTATTTATGAGTTTTGTGGGTTAGCAGTTATCAGTCTGACGCTGGTCATGCTAACTTGAGCAGCCAGCAAATAAAATACAGAAAAGACAGAAGAAAATCCGAAAACCCAACCACAATGGATCGCTGCGTAGGCGCCTTTCACCAGACGGAGATGTTTGAGGAGAGGGAGCCCCAGTTGCATATAAAAATACGAGTACTCGCACAACTAAATCAAATAAATTACATTTGGGCAGTAGAGTAACGGCAATGACTAAGAGGAGCTGCCCCAAGAAATGGGAAATAAGTGCTAGATATAAAAACCAAATAGTAATATCATTTTCCATGTGTGAACCATCAGTTCTTCCTCAAAATGTATTATTTATATAAATATTTATTGTATCTAACTGAGTCTGCTTTACTGGTTTGTATTCATTATAATTCCTATTCGAAGAGCCTCGAAAAAGTTCCATGTGACGTGCGATAAGGGGCTAACTAAAGGGTGTTGGCGATTAGGAAAGTCTGCAAGAGATAAGCCTTCGAATATGTCGTCTTTGATCAAAGCCAAAAGTCCATAATTGTCTTGATAGGACCTAAATTAGACATTATTATTTAGAGATAAGTTAAGGAAAAACTCATAACTACACAGAAAAAATTTGTTGGATTAAAAAAACCAACTTTTATAGTAAATTTACCAAATCATATTTGCGTAATATATAGTTGGTTAAGAATTATACAGTTTTTACTTTTAAACTAACCACAAAAATGGTTTCTTTTACCTAGCCTGTTTTCGATTACTGTAACTGACTGTAAATTAACCATTATATTTGTAACTATAATATTTTCCTCCGATGTGTTAATTTATAATTCAAAACTCATACTATAAAATACTATATAATACTATACTATCTTCACATACGTTTACACTTTTCAATTAATTGGAATACACTAAGTGAAAACATTAATAAATAGTACTACTTTATTGTAGTAGCGGTAATTGTAAACTTTTGGTGGTAATAATATTTGCGTAATTTTAATCATTGGTAAAACTGTGGTATTTTCAACCTATATTAGTTATACTAGTATGAACCATCTAACCGAAGACTTTGGATGAACTGTAAAGTTGTTATACGTAACTTTAACTGTTGATTGAAGTTACTTTAACCGACATAATGGTCGACACATTTTTTCGTGTTAAAAATATTCATGAGCCCAATCCCAGATCCCAATTATGTTATCTAATGTTTTTTCTTATCGTTCCCCTTGACTTGGCTGAAATTTGATGGAAAGCTCTCCATCAGCTTCCTGGGAAATCTCTTTGATTGCTGAATGATTATCCCCACACACGGAAAAGTAATACTCCCTCGCCTTCATCATCGTCGTCGTCGTGGGAGTATCCCCATAAAAATTGAATTAGCAGCGGTTTCCATCGAAATCACCGCGGGCCACCTCTTTGTGTCTCCTCATATTCAATTTCCAGGCAGCCGGTTAATTGGCCAGACCCCATCTAAACCCGATCGCAAAGAGTCCCCAACTTTCACGGCCTCTGGTAACCCGTTTCCATGGCGATCATTACGTGGTTCGCTGTTGAGTTGGTGGTGCAGATTCATGGCTGCACTCTTATGGCCAAAACCACTAGCGATCGAGTCCATCCAGTTTGCATTGAATTTATTTTGTCCGATACGAAAACCAAAACGAACGGACGAAATGCGCATTTTTCCACATGTCCCCACACATTTTACATTTTATCTATTAATTTGTGCGGTGCAAAAAGCGGTTTGCACTTGTCAAGTTCGCGGTGAAATTCGAAATTGGAATTGATGTCCAGTTCGGTTTCGTTTGCTGTTTTACGAGTGCAATGCCTGATCGTCGTAAGTAAGATATACAGCTCTGTTCAAATCAATTTAAGTGCTTCGCATTAAAATGCAAACAAAATGGTTTTAAAGATGCATATAACAAAGGCCGTTTTGATTTTTTCTTAAAGAAATGTCAGATTTAAATACAAATGTCTTGTTTAGTTATAAAAGAAATTGAATTATATGCTTTAAAAAACCATAAATATCAAGAGTATCCTTCAATGAAAGTGAAACTGAAAGCTATAAACTTGTCTCAGGATCATCTTAGGGATCATTTATAAAATATTTTTAGAAAGGATATTGATAATTGCAGGTAATGCAAGAATATTTTTCACTTTATCAACAATAAAAACAAACATTACAAATGTTTTTGACAGGAATGGATAACTGGAATTTATTAAATTAAAAAAAGAATCACTTTAAATGAATTTATATAAGCACTTATAAAGTAAAGTAACAATCTGAAGAACACTGAACAGAACTAAATAGCTTGTTTTGACAAATAAATTACGTTCATAGGTGGTTTATTTGATAAGTAAGTAATATGGGGTTCTTAAACCCCATTAAGAAGTTCACAACTTCAATTAAGCACACTTCACAAACTATATCCTTTTGATATTTTAGTAATCACTTACACCGAAAAATATCGAACCGATGAAAGCTGAGCGTGAAATAGTTCCTACGCGAATTCTTGTGCATCTTAACCGAGCCCAGCATGTTCATTGTGTGTTCACTGTACTATCAAACCAGGCACATTATCAGGTGTTTGGGCTAGCGCGATGGCCGATACTGATGGCCGAAAAGTCGGGGAAAAACCCTGAAAAGACGCGGCTCCCACTTCGGGTGACGATGTTGACTGGGCGAGCTCCGTTGGCAGCCTGAACTGGGTTCAAGCCATCGCCAAAGTTATTCACCCAAGACCAAGACGACTCCACTGCGAGAGAGACCGCTTCGCAAAAACACGTTCACTTTCGTGGGTAAAAGTTTTCGCAGTCTTCAGATCCACGAGCCGATTGCCAGGAGGAGGCGTGGCCCATGTGGGCGGTGGTGCGGGTGGTGGTTCGCCGGTCGCCAATTATTATGGCCAAATGTGTGGGACATTCGCGACTCGTGGCTGGCAAATTGCTTCCTCATTGCGAATGGGGGATGCCATATGTCCAGTGCTTGTATATGGTATATACATTTTAGGCTCTAAAGGTCTCGAACCCAACGGTTCACCATTTTGAAAAAAATTTATCAGATTATGTTTATCGGAAAATCTTTATATGATTCTGGTCCTAGAAAGTGGCATATTGATATTGATCATAAGAATTTTTTGAATATTTCGGAGGATTTTCTAATATTTTCTAAATATATTTGCATTTTTTATAATAGCCAATGTCTGTTTATAATTCGGAGTATAAATTAAATGTGCAAATTAAAGAAAATACAAAATCCATATATCATTTTAGACATATTTATGAAAGAAAACATTAGGCCTTTTTATTTATTTGATACTATCCTGTGATTAGAAAATAATTTTCATACTATTACGTATTATTCTTTAAACATTCGGTGGAATATGTATGAAATTCCATACCTAATTTTCCCCTAGTGTAGCTTATATCTCATGACTTATGCCTCATACGGCAGTCAAGTGGCTGGGATTGTTTTCATCGCTGGCACTTCCACTTTTTCACTTTTCCACCATGCAGCCCGACTTCCACTTCTTTGTTTTGGCCACATTTCCACGGATCTAGCCGCCTTATCGTGTGAACGTCGGCTCAATTAAAGCCTCTCTCCATTTCTCCTGCCTCATCGGACATAATGGGCAATTAACAAATGGAAAATCGCAGCCAATACATGTCAAACATGGCAGCTATCATTCGCATTTTTCAGTTTTTTTTTATGCGTATGGCAATTAAGTAGACTCGATATTTATTGTGTGATAATGAGGGTTATTGTTTTAACATTTTTGTAAATCGACTAGGAAAACGGCTATTTAGATATCTAAGTAATCATTAGCAATGGTATCCTTGAATCAGTGTTGAAATATATTGTAATAGATTTTTAAAAGCATTGGAAACAGATTCATTGAGCTACCATTGAGCCAAGTTTTATTTTTCCAGCAAGAGTTGTAAAATTTGATTGACAAAGATTTTCTTTTTAAGTCAATAAAAATTTAGCTGCTGTTTGATTGATTTGTATACATTAAGAAAAATTTCACCTTGTCGTAAACTTATATCTAGGCAAACATACAAATCTCCTAATTAGCCATGTTTTCCAAATTGACGACATTATATGTACAGCTTTCCTAACACGGCAATCACCACACTTTTGTTTGAGAGCCAACACTTCAATCAAGATGTAACCATTATCCCATCACATGGATAGCCATTGACTACTGTCCAGAGATCAGGTTCTCCTCGGGCAACTCGTTTCTGATGTTTCTCACTGCAGGGCACTGCCATTTTCCCCCATTTTACCTCACCACCCCAACTAAACATGACTGGCGAATTTCCCCTAATTGATCAATCAAAGCGGACTGTGGACAGTCACAAGCCACTGACGATGCGGAACCCCCTCGATATTCCCGAAGTTCAAAGACCTGGCCAACGGTTGTGGAACTTTAATTGATTAATCGCTATGGTGGAGGACATCGCCTCTTTTCGTCAGCTTCTTGATGCGATGACGGCACATTTTGGTCCTGGAGTAATTATTTCCCCCACTGCAATAATGAAACAGGAATTTTGTGGCAGTTGGCTTACGGGGCTTTCCCTTCGAGGACTTTTTACCACGGCCAGGAGTTCGCTTCTTTTTTCCATTTTTGGCATTGGCCATTCCCAAGGTAATAATCGAAGGATTTGGCCAAATGGGAGCATCTGGCTCAGTCACTTTAACATTGGTAAGATGACTGTCCAAGAGATCGCGATCCAGTTGACATGTCTTAGTTGGGTCCAAGGATTCAAGGAATAGTGTGGGATTCCCGACACTGTAAAATATATAAGTGTTCTTCGTTTTGGACTCAGAATCGCTCGGAGGCTTCTCTGACTGGTGGATGGGATCCTGCGAATCGCATAAGGTCAACGATTCGGAGTTACCACTCATCTTGATCCCTCTCGATGGTACTGTACTCCAAATCAAACCAATCTTGCCCAAATTGTATGGAACATATGAAAATTTAGAGTAATTTTTTGGAAACCGAATGTAACACTGCTAGTATGATCTTTCCAAAGGTATAAGTCTATAAAAACTAACAATTTTATCAAGGGATACTATAGGTGGAAAAATATTGGGCTCTCGTAGTACTGTACTCCAAAACAAAACAATCTCTATGAAACTTTTGAAAATTTAGTGAAATTTTTGGAAACCGAATGTAACACTTCAAGCATAAACCTCTCGGTGGTATAAGTCTAAAAAAACTAACATATTTTTCGAGAGCTACTATGAAGGCAAAAATATTAGTTTCTTCCAGAAAACTAGACCACTTTTCTTTGGCTTAAGCATGCAAGCTATCATATTTAATTTACTATTGCAAATCAAGAACACATTAAAAATGTTCTCAAATAAATCCATTAAAATACAATGTAACCGCTAATGGTGAAAACGAATTCTTTAGATTATTGCTAAAGAACCCACACGAATTAATGGGCATTCTGGTATCCCTTTAATAATTCAGTAAGCTCAATAAAAGTGCCAGCTAAGTGAATTTAAAGAGAGTGATATTTACTTTTTTTTTTACTATATAAGACTTACCCGATATGGTGGACATGGTGCGATTGTGGTTGCCGCGCACCAGTTCCGATGGCCTCAAGCTCGGCTCCTCGACCACCTCGAGTCCAGAATCGGAGTCAACGGCCTCAGTGACCACGGGATTGGGAGCTGGAACTGGAGGAGGAGCTGCACCACCAGCTCCACCAGGGTTGGTTTGAGCCTGGCTCGATCCGTAGACATTCTTGTTGTAGATGCTATTGTTGGCGTTCATGTTGTTCTGCTGTTCGGCGTTCAAGTTGTTGCGCTGCTGTTGAACGGGTGCCCTCAATGGAGGCGGCAATGGTGGTGGAGGTGGTCCATTAACTAAAGGATATTGAAAATAATTCGAATTAATAATATAATATATCAATTCAATATCTATTTGATATTTAACCCATTTTCTAATAACTTAAACCTATATTAAACATCTAGTAACTCTTAAGCAAGTGAAAATCCCTAATTATTTAGGGGTATTAAGACTCACCCACGGCCAAATTTTGCATGGGTGGCGCCGAGGAGACCCGCTTGAGATTCCTGCTGCTCTGATTGCCGCCGTTCATGTTGCCAATGTTGTTGATGTTGCTGATGCTGCCGCTGGTGTTGTTATTATTATTGTTGTTGGTCGAGGCATCCGCCAGATTGTTACGGATCATGGAGTTCTTGTGCGTTTGCTTGGTCCGCTCGGCCACATCCTCCGGCGGACAGACGCTCTCGTAGGTGTCGCTCTTGATGCCGCCGTTCAGAAGCTGGTTCTTCAGATTCACATTCTTCGCACTGTAGTTATCCTTCAGCGAGGACTCGTACTTGCTGCTGTGCAATCCAATAATCGAATGCGATTTATTGCGATTCAGCAGGCTGTTATTGTTGTTATTGGTGAGTGCAATGTTGCTGCTGCTGTTGTTCATGTTGCTGCTGTTGTTCATGTTGCGCTTGTTGTTCAAGTGCTGCGGGATTAGATAAGTGTCAAATTAACGAATGCCCCAATTCCAAAGGCCTCGAAACTCACATGATTGCTGTACTGCAGAACAATGTCCGTGCTCCTGGTGGAACTGGCGCTGGCTGAACGCGAATGGGAGCCACTGTCCCTCGATCGCGAGCGCCCCACGTTGTATTTGTGTTGCTGCTGCTGCTGCTGTTGCTGTTGCACGGCCTGATGTTGCAGCTGCTGCTGCTGTTGCTGCTGCAACTGGTGTTGGTGTTGATGTTGCTGCTGCTGCTGGTGCTGCTTGCGCGACTCTTCGCGCACCAGATAGATATCCTCGTAGTCGTGATCCCCGCCGCCATTCTGATTGCTCGTCATTCCCTTGTGCGGCTTGTAGTTGTTGTTGCTTTTCATGTTGCCACTGGCGCTGATGTTGCTAATGTTGCTGCTGCTGCCATGGCGATTGAAGCTCTGGCTGCGCATCTGCTGCTGCTGCTTCGGCGAATTGAAGCTGGACGAGATGGACACGGACTCGTCGGAGCCACTGCCCGCTCCACTGGAGCTGGAATGGACATCCGCCTGTATGGTCATGGCATTGCCCGCCTTCGACTGCAGCAGCTGGTGGCCGTGGGCGTGACTCTTGCCATGCTGCTTCACACTGCTGCTGCAATCGGAGTCCACAAACAGATCGCGCACACGGTTGTAGATGATATCCTGCGGATCGTGCAGGAAGAAGGACTCCCCCGAGATGCTGCCATTTGGCGAGGGCGTATTGTACATTCCGCCATTTCGCATGGGATTCACATACAAGCCATCGTTGGGCAGCAGGGCGCCACCTCCACCACCACCGCCGCCACCTCCACCTCCTCCTCCGCCTCCTGAAGAACTGTTGCCGCCCGGATTGCCACCCAAAGAGGACGAACCATTGTATAGCTTCTCGGATGAACTCCTCGATTGCTGGGAGTACAGGGCATCGCTGTTCTTCCTCGATATTCCCAGGCCCATGCCCATGCCCATGCCCACGTTCATGCCAATGCCCATGCCCATGCCCAAGCCCATTGATGATCCTCCAGCTCCGCCTGCTATGGCCGGTGGATGCAAGTAGAAGGGCTCCACATCAGAGCTCAAAGTCGAGGAGGACTTGGATTTGATGGTATTACTGCGACTCGTCTGCTTCGAGGAGTTCGAGTTCGAGTTGCAGCTACTGCTCAGGTGTTGTTGCTGCTGCTGATGCTGCTGTTGTTGCTGCTGTTGATGTTGCTGGTGGTGCAGTTGCTGCTGCGACTTGTGTCGCTGCGAGCTGCCCTTGCCATTGTAGTCCACCGAGGTGCCATGCTGAACCAAGACATTCAGGCACTACGAAGGCAATACGAAGGGTATATGTTAAACATGTTATTTTATTTTTTGAAAATTACATTTTCCAAGATTGAAACCCACCTCAACCTGCTGATTTTCTGCGGCATCGTTGATGGGTGACTTGCCATATTTATCCAGGGATAGTTTAGCTCCATGATTGAGCAGCCAACGGACCACGGACAGGTGACCTCGGGAGGCGGCAAAGTGCAGGGGCGTGGCTCCATCGCCGTCCCTCAAATTGGGGTCCACGCCTTGATCTTGGACCTTTGTGGGCAAAAAAAGGAAACCATATATAACGTATATGTAAAATAAGGTAAGGTAAGGTAATAAGATGTTTAAAAACTGCAAAAACACAACCGCAATTGGTCTATAAATGTCTCTTTAGCAAGAAAAACTACAGCCACATCATTTGTGGCTAATCCATCTCAAAACCTGAGTACTTCACTTGTGACTTGACGAGATGCTGAAGTATCTATTCCTCACTGTCCACTAAATTGAGAGGCTGGCAATTCCACTAACTCAACTCAATGTCTTTCAGCGGTTGAGTATCTTGCAGACTGCGTTTGTGGAAAGTGGTTTGCCAGCCGTCAGGCGTTGTGGCTATAATGGAAACTATTTAGTTCAATTTAGAAAGGTGGTTTTCCAGCGCCTCTGGCGATGATCTTGAAAATGCATTCTGGCCATTGTCAGCGCTTGGAAAACTGCGATCTTTGCATAAGCCACTCTCTCCGCTTCTTGGCTTCTCGGCTTCTAGTCTCCTTGGCCCATTGGCCTTCTCCTCCTCAATCGGACGCATTCCCCGATTGATAAATGGCACAGGTCTGGCGACAAACTGGCCGGGAATCCCGCTCGAGAACCCCGTTAAAGCCACCGAAACAGGACCCGCTGACACCAGCGAAAAGAAACGGGTTCAAAGCCACACTGAGCGAAATAGCTTGAAATTATGTGTTCTTAGTATAATAAAGAGGCATTAGTACTTTCATTTATAAGCACAAAGTCTCGACCTCCAATTAGAAAGAAGGTCCCTAAGTTGTGTGATCATTATTTTCTGATTAAATACAGTGAGCTTAAGGGTTAATATTCAAATTAAACATGGATTTCTAATGAAATTCACATTACACATAAATATAAAATAAATAACTGTGCCTAACTCATACCTTAGTTACCTTCGAACAAATCCTTAATCAAAGGAAATATCCTTAAAAATATAAATGCTATCCAAAATACGAGTACCAAAGCAACTCCTGGATAAAAAACATTATAATAAAAATCAAATTTCTAAAAGAACAAAAAAAGTATACCATAAAATCTAGGATGACAAACTTAAAACATCCTTAAGTCACTAAAATAATTATTATTATAATAACCATCAATCTTTAAAGATGAAGGGCAGTGGCATTACTAATATTTTGACTATGGCTATGTGTATATCACTATGTCCTTTTTAGCTATAACTCCGAAAATTAATTGGAGTTTGGGGTTCAAAAGATACAGAATAGCACTTGTTAAAGGATTTGCCTAACTAAAAAACCAAGAACCCAATCCTATGTTATTGATTTTTGAATTTCTTGTAAAGGTTGAAAGGGCTCAAGATTAATAAAAATACTTTTTAATTCAATATAAAAGTTTTAAAATATTTTTTAAATCTATTTCCACTACTTCAAACCCATGTCTGTGTGTTTTGCAATCTCTCTAGCATGTTTCGTCAATCGAACAAGAATTTTCAGCAGTGCAGGTGGCTCTGGCAATTGACCCGCATTGCCTGCCGCAGTTGGCCAAGCTAACCGAGTTGGCCAACCAAGTTGGCAGTTAACAGATCGGTTAAAGGCCGAAATTTAAGCGGAGCACTCACCATCCATTTGAGGCAATCCAAGCAGCCCATTTGTGAAGCGGCATGGATCGGTGCCATGCCGTCGCGTGCACGGACGTACAAAGAGCCGCCGGCCTCGAGCACCAGAAACTTGAGCACCTCCAAGTGGCCCTCCTGCGCCGCCAAGTAAACGGGCGTGACATCGTTGTCCATTTGCGTATTGGCGCTAGACGAAATAAAAAATCACACTCATTAGTTGTCAACCAATTAAGGGGGTAAAATATGGTGTTTCATGAACAAAAAGTTGCATCGAAATTGGCTTAAAGTGTTCTCATTTCGTACCCCTATATCATTGTATATATGGTATATACATATACGTATAACTGCAGTTAATCTCTAGCAACGCACTGGGTCACTGGAATAATCTTCTCGGCCTTTTCCTCTTCTTTGACCGGTTTTCCACTCATTTTTTCATTGCGGAATATGCGGAATATCATTGATCGATCGATTACAAAGAGTGGAGTGATAGGCAGAGATTAATCAACTCCACATCAATCGAATGGTAATCTTTGGAGAATGTGTGGGAAAAGCTATTCACCAATTTGTCAAGGTGTTCAGCGCATTATATTCCCATTAAATGCTGACTGCCATTGATCGGAATTGGGTAACAAATGTTGAGATTAGCTTGTTATCAATATGAATGCATTGTTACTTGCCATGAATTAGGAAATTTAATATGCTAAGCTAATTGCAGATGCATTGTACTAAAAGCTCGTATTAATAAGGCATTTTCTAGAGAAATTGAACATAAAAACGATTGCCTATACAAATTTTAAATAGTGAGTTGTTCAAAGAGTTTCCTTTAACGATGGTGTTAATGTTTTGAAAATAAAACCTCAGGGATTTCGAGTTTTTTTATTGTGAAGTAACTTCTTAAGTCCATTACATTTTTAATCTTTTTCGAAAACTTTCTCATCGGTTTAAAACCATTTGTGACATGAAATAATAATAAGAAACCTCAACAGTGAAGACAAACTAATTAAGGCCGTTTTCACGTCCTTATGTTAAACTAAAAGTAGGGTTTAGACTGAATATTACTACATAATTTATAGGAAATCTACTTCTAGTTAACCATGGAAACGAGGAAAAAAACATTATATTTAAAATTAAAAAATGTATTTGATAATATTGATTCCGAAAATACGAGGTTCTTAAGATTCTCCCTTATAGATGTTCTTCGCACTACCCATCCCCAGTAAACCTATTCATAATCAGTGATCCCTTTGGTTTGCCCCACCTGACCACGCTGCGTCGGTTGTTCTGCTCCTTGCGCCCCACGCCGCTCATCATGGGTGTGGCCTCGTCATCCTCGTTGGAGTCCCGATCCTCCATGTCCTCATCCATCTGCTGGCGCACCACCTCCACGGCTGCCTTGCGCTGGTGGTGCAGATGGTGGTGCGAATCCATTTGGTTGGGATGTGGATCCTTGGCGTGGTGGTGAGGGTTCTGGTTCTGATTCTGATTCTGGGACTGGCTCTGGTTCTCCTGTTCCTCACTCCTGCGATCCTGGGCCGCCTCCTCGATGAGCGTGGTGGTCTGTACCTCCTCGGTCTCCGATCCCGTGCTGCTGTGGACACTGCTGCTCAGTATGGCGGCCGTTACCTCCGTGGCGATGATCGTGTGGATGTCATTGTTCGACTTGGACTTCTGCTTGCTGCGGCGGTAGGAGGTCAGACTTGTGGTCATGCGGCCGAGGAGGCCCTTCTTAACGTTGATGGTGGAGAAGTAGCTGGCGGTGGAGGAGGAGGAGGGTGGTGGGTTGGTAGCTTTGGTGGCCAGGTGACTGGGTGGGTGTGTGTGTTTGAGTGGGTCTTTTGCTTTTGACATATGAATATCTTGTTTTTTTAAGGGTTCGAATGGCAGTGCGCTTGGTGCTCGTGTTTGTTTTTTGCTTTTTAGTGAACTTTAATCTATTCGCCTGGGCTTACCGTTCACGTTCGAAATTTCGCGTTTCACTTTCGTTTGTCACTTGATTTTATATTTTCCGGTTTATGTGTATCTTTGATTTTCCTTGTACCGTTAAGCACACACACACACACACGCACACACGAGAGTGTAATGAAAAAAAAAAGAGTTCGATTTATGGAACTGGTTGAGGAAAAATCACTTAAATGCCTTGATTTGCATAGCGAGTTTTTCGGTAGCAGTCTTTTGTTTTTCTTTTTTTTATGTCAGTTTTTATGGATCATATCAGTTGTGCCTGCTGAAACCGAAAGTCTGCATTATTCCGACAGCTCTCTGCGGTGTCTGGGCTGTGATTAAACCCCCGATGCTCGATCTGCTCGACAAACTTCTGCTTCTTGTTCGCCTATATCTTATATCTATACCATATATACGTATATGTATATAAATCTTTTTAGGTGAAATTAACGCTTAAAAGCGAAACAAAAACCGTCGAGGGGATGAGGTTTCTCTTGGCGAGTAGTTACGCCTGACTCCCAGTCTAAAATCTGCACTTGTCTTGGCGTCCGCCACTTGTGTTGCTGCTGTACATGTTGCTCGTGTTGCTAGTGGTGCTGGTGTTGCTGGTGTTGCTCGTGTTGCTGCTGCTGTTACCATTTAGTTTAGCTGGGTTGGCCTGGCTTTCCACACGGTGCAACAGTGGGGCAAGAGTGGGTGTGGATCGCCTCATCTAACGGAAGAATTATAATGGCCACTGATCACAGGTATCACGGCAATTTAGCCATCGACAAAATTATAGGCCAACAAAAGGCATAAGTTTGGTCAAGCTTTTCAATCTGCCAATTGCCTAACAGCCAACTGAGCACTGCCAGGAAAATCGTTAGCCAACTTCTTAATTTTGTATACTATTTATTTGTAAATGGAACCTCTACATATCACTAATGTATCCTTATATGCACATATCTACATATCACTAATGTATCTTTATATCCACATATGTACATATCACTAATGTATCTTTATATGTATCTTTTTTAATACTTTCAAGATCTCTTTACTTTTATTGGTTTTCTAGTTTTATCTAAACTTTTAACTTTTCTAGTACCTTCAATCAATTTTGTATATCCAGTAAATTACCTATTTTAATTTTTCAAAAATTAGTATCTGAAAAAAACTGTATTCTAGTATTGTTGTATTCTCTTATTTTTGCTGTACGTCTGCCTAAATTTCTGTTTAATCCCCAGCCTTTAACCCATGTCCCACTGTGCTTTCTTCCCCTGAGCTCCAAAAGATTCGGTGGCCAAACGGAGGCGTCGGAGGCGACGATGATGATGGTTATATGGGTACGGATACTAGTATCTGTTCACTTAGTCAACTGGCTTACGACTTCATGGATATTGCGCACGGCAGCGGAGTTTGGCTGCTTTGGCTTTCTTCGTTCGACTTCGGACTACTTGTTACATTTTCCAGCTTTTCTCGCTTAGAAATGAATTGTAAACCAATTAAAGTTGATTTTTCATCTTTATCCCCTTCTACCCCGACTGTCTGTTTATTTTTCGTATCTTATGGCTTCTTTAGTAGGTGAAAATACAGTAAGAAATATATATATACATATATATATTCCCAATTTTTTCCTCTTTTGCTGTCTTTTTTAGTTTTTTTTTGTTTTGTTTTGCCCGTCTTGTTTCTCTCTATTTGCAATTTAATAATTATTTTTTAATTTATTTAATGTGTCTGGGGGGCCGAGCAGAAAATGGAATTAAAAAGCGAAATAATTGAGGCGAAGCAGGAGCCTCGTTAGAAATGCCAGTTGACAGTTATAGACTCGTTTATTTAATTGAACATTTGCGTGCTCGAATCCCAATGATGGACGATCAACAGTCGGCGATCCACAATCAAGCCTCGTCGATTGTCCATCGCTGAGAGAATGCAGAATGAAAGCCACGCGAGTGACACAAATGGACCCCAGGGAGATAGAAAGATACAAAGATACAGATGCGAAGTGGAAGATTGTCTTTCGCAGCGATTAGTGGAAATCTTCAAGTGATTTCCCCCGCAAATGTGGGCAGTAAGTGCCGCTTCCCGATTTGGTTACCATGAGAATTAGCACGCCTTCTAAGGGTTCTTTCAATGGGTTCTATACTATGAGTATTATGCCCCACTTCAGCACAAAGTAATTTCTATCTATCCGAATATATCTACCACTTTTGTAGTTAATTCTAGATGTTTTAAGAAAGAGTGGCAGTAATTTCACAGCCAATTCTATATGATACAATATCCTACTTTTGTTTGGTATTATACTTTATAATGCCTATCAATTATATTAGAGTTTATCTTCAAGGGTTCGTTTTTGTTGTATTTGGTCCTTGATTAGAATAAATGGTAAATATAAAATGAATGGTTCTGTGATATTTGAATTCTGTATAATATCAAAGCATTTGTATTATCCTCTACCAGGTAAACATGTAATATGTTCCATAAATTTGAACCATATAGTTTAATAATTATCCATTTAATAGATTTAATCATGGCAATTTCTGATGAGCTGTAGTTATCAATCCATATGAGGTGTTCTTTTTAACACAGTCCAGTTTTTTTAATGAAATATCCATAGTTTTAGACCAAGCACAAGCACTAACAACTGGACAACTGGACATATATGTTCTAAAGCATTTTATTCATTTGGTTCCGCACTCAAACACACACTGGCAAAAAAAATCATAAAACAATATATAGACAAGGTTAGCTTGGCATCCTTGGCGTCCCGGTGGCCAATTGATTTCCTCGCTGCCTCGGCCAATCGATTTGTGGCAACTGAATAATGTTGGCCAAAAGCAGCCGTGGCTACCTTTTCATGGTTGCGGTCGCTGCGGCTGCTGCTGCTGCGGATGTTGCTGTTGGCTTGGGCATTAAGCCAAATGTTGTGGCTACTGTTTGCGGGGCGAAGATAAAGATACAGATGATGTTGCTGCTGTTGTGCCTTGCAGTTCTTTGGTACACTGAAACTGTTAATTAATTCGCGTTCCGATTCGTTAACTGCATTTGAAATACTTTGAAGCGCGAAATTTTGTTTGCCGTTGCTAGTGTGGCTAATGTTGCTCGTGTTGCTGATGTTGCTCGTGTTGCTGGTGTTGCCGATGTTGCTGGTGTTGCTGGTGCTGTTGTTGATGTTGCTGCTGCTGCCTGACCAACAGACAGTCGCGGGGGCGGAGGCGTGGCCGTGCTGCTGCATCGAGCTTCAAAACGAAACCGCACTAAATCCACCATTGAAATCAAAATTCAAATTCATTCTATGGCCGCATGTTGCTGCTGCTGTTGCTGCTGCGCGTAACGGTTGCTGCTGGTAAACGGTAACAACTTTAACACCAACTATCACTCTATGCATATACATATAATATGTATGCTCTATAAGACCGAGGAGTCGAGTAGCCCACGAACGAAAGCACCGTTCGCCTCGAGTAGCCAAACGCGAATAGCCAGCACCACCGAACGCCAAGCGCCAAGCGCCATCGAGTGGCCACCGCGAACCACAACCACTGGTGGCGGTGGTGCTGCTTCCTCCTCCTCTGCGTCTTCTTCTTCTGCTCTTTTTCCTCTTTTGGTGGGCGGCGGAGGGGGCGTGGCGGGGGCAAACCAGATAGCTCAACACCGAGCTGTCGCCATACGCAATATTATCAAATGGCCAGCGGCGAGGGCGGATAGACAGGTCAACGTTAGTCACACGGAAATAAGTACCATTTTCATTGTTACGCCTCTTAAAAATGAAAATGATATATAAAACATTCGAGCCCAATAGGTTTTCCCACGAAATTTCCTCTGGCTTACTTTCTAAAGTATGATAGTCACAGGGAAAAATATACCAATCAATCCCATTAAAAGGTATTTCAGGATCCCATAAAAATATTATTTATAAACGACGATAATTGTTAAATTTATTGAGCCCCCTATTCATAATATGGATTACTTTGTCCTTTAGTTGGTCATAATATGTGTGTTTCCCCATGTTTCCTGGAAAGGACATTTTCCTAAGACTACAAGCATTTAAGTCAAATTTTGTATGCAGAAAAATGCACCTGTTAACCACAGTGTAACTAAATAATTATAAATCGCATACAACCCATTTTAATGGGTTTTAATGATTAATAAATGGTAAAAACAATTTGTAAAAGTTTTTGAAAAACTTTTAAAAATATATAGTATTTAATTTATGAAAATAAACTAATGAATCTGCCCTCGCTTCCTCTTTGCAGTATTAACACAAGAAGCAACAGCTGTCTTCATCCAGGTGTCTTTGTGGGCAAAACTATCAAACGGTTTGTGGCGAGGGCGGGTTGAAATGTTAACAAATATAAAATATACAAATATAAAACACAAAAAATTTAACACATTTCAAATTTTAGATTTTGCTTTTCTAGTTCAATAATTATTAATACTTTTTAAAATATTTATATGTAAATACATAAATATATATTTATATGCAAATATAAAATGTTCTGTGGATATTATGTTGACATTTGTAAATGTGAATTCGTTAGCATTTGCTAAACATTGTAAACATTGCATTTTAAATAAATGCATATTTAAAACGATCATACCAAAATGTGGTCTTATTGCATATTACTAATATGTTTAGTATAATTCCACATATTATTTTGGACGAAGCATATTTAGGCATTGAAAAGGTTCATAACAATGCCTAGGCTTTTTATAAAATAATATTTAGAACGTTTATTTTTTTTTGAAGCTTGATAAAAATAAGTATTCTATAATAAAAATCCATTTCGTAAGCAAATAACTGCCAAGTGTTCAAGTCTCATGTGTGGATCTGCCCTCGCTCTCATCTCTCGCTGCTTTCTGTGTCGCTGTGTCAGTTGTCATGTCAATTGATCTGCCTTGCCGCTTGGTAAATATGAATTTAAGTGGCGACCGAGAGGAGCGATGAGAAGGCTGGCGGGGATCAGGCTGAGGCACTGATTCTGACTGCGATTCTGACTACGATTCTGATTCCTTGGCCACCAGTCCGAAGTTGCTCCACTTCGAGGCAAGTGGGGAAAACTCGTTGCAACGGTGCTTTGTGAGGCTGTGAGTTTTCCAGTTTGACTTCAATTGAAAATAGCACACGATAGAACCAAAACTGGCCTGGCCTGGACTCGATTGGAATGGATTGCACTGGATGGGATGGGATGGGATGGGGTGGCCGGGGAAGATGAAGTGCATCTCGCTTGGCTGGCTCGCCTTGGCCACTTGGATTCCCATTCCTATCTCCCAATTCCCAATTAAATGAATCAGCTTTGAACGCGTGCTGCTGTTGGGGCACAGGAATTTAGGTGAATCAAACACTGGCCACGGATCGCTAACCCACTTGGCGTTTAGTTGTTCCAAGTTTTTCCAAGATTTTCCTTGTTTCGCCAAGTTTTCCCTGCCTTTCCTAGTTTCCCCCCACTCACCACCTTCATTCTTTCTACTTTGTTGGATGAGCTAATAAGTTTTAATTAGTGCATTAAATGGACTGCTACCAGCACAGCGGGTAGATAATAGTTTCTCAAATCAACTACTTCGTTGATTCAGCTTATGATAATCAGATCGTTACCGAGGCTTTAGACACTTGAACGCTTGCATTGAAATTACTATTAAATCTGGGCTCTAAATGGATCAAATTAAATGAACGCTAGAGTAATTGTACATTTCTAACATGGAAAATTTACAGAACTGCTTATTAAATAAATTATTCACATTATCAAAGATAAATCAATTTTGGTTTGATTTAAAAAAATGTAAAACCCTTAATTCATTCATGTTACGATATTCTTATATTTTTCTCTGGGTAACTCAAATTACGTAAATAGAACATTAAGTTAAAATGCGTTTAAAATAAATTAGATGGTTGTGGTCATTTCCACAAATAATAAGCCACTTGTCTTGGGTCTAACACTTATCTAAACAGATAAAAAAAAACCCCTAATGAGAATAATTGTCGCAAGTAAATGGAAAGAAACCGCATCGAATGGAAATGCACACAGATCGAGGAAATAATAAAACACAAACTAGAGCCCGCCATCGATCGTCGATCGATTTCCCCGACACATAAACACAAAGAACGGCTGAAAAGAGCTTTCACCCCGCACTCGCAATCGCAATGCAACTTTTGGCCATCATCCACTGGGGGACAGGTGCTCATCCACTTACCAAATATCCACGGATGCGGCGACCAGCAGTTGGACGCAATCAAGGCAGCCACGAGCGGCGGCATAGTGGAGGGCCAGTGCTCCTCCGTTGGGTCTTTCGCTGCCGGAAACGCTCCCCGGATGGTGCATCTGGCCCATTTGGGCCATGTTGCCCAGATTCATCATACCGCCCACACCGCCCAGGTAGGAATCCAGCTGGTGGGCGTGCATTCTGCTCGGATTAATGTTGCCGCTGTGGTTTTGATTGCTGTGCAGCAGCTTATTGTTCAGCTGCAGATTGTTTAGTTTGTTGCTGTGGTTCAGGTGCAGATTCGAATTGAGCGCATAATCGTTTATGGTTCTGCAAGAGAGTAAGAAAGAAACACATATTTTAAAATGGGTTACTTATGAAACATTACATTTTAACTAAAGGTATGTAACTTATTAGGTTACATATTAAAGAGAAGCCTGAAATTATTTGGGAATATGTAAAATTGTGTCAAGATTTTAAACATCTTTAAATGTTTTTCATAAATTTATTTAAACTATTTAGGTTTTTACCGAAGCCATATTTATAATTACACTGCAAAAACCCACTTTCTCAAAAAAAAAATATTGCCTACTTTTGGGCTGCTCTGTAACAGAAATCGAAGTCAACTTTTCTGCAGGCAAAACGAAAGACTTAAGACACAAACTTGAAGAAAAATTAATTGACAGGCCCGTTTTTTGTGCATATGGTGATTTTAAAAGTAAATTTCAAGCCTATATAACGTTCTATTGAAAACTAACTTTTAAAAAGTGTCAAAAAGAATTTAGTAAATGATTTAAGGTAATATTTACATTTACTTAATGAATACCTCAAGATAATAAAGAACTTGTTGTTCAATATGGAGAATTAACGTTTGTTAACAATATACATATACACTTTAATTTGAAAATCTTCATAAATAAAATCTTTATTACTAAAACTATTGCACTTAATGGATTAAGTAAATCTGGTAGGCACTGTATTTCTGTTGGAATAGTCTGAGAAAAACAATTTCTAATTTTGCTTTGCTTAAACATAGCAAAATAATTAATTTCCCTTCATAGACATTTGGGCACACCTCGTAATTAATTAATTGGCCAGGGGAAGTGCTGGTAATTAATTTTGATGGCATCTATCTGCGCATCCTCGGCTGCACTTGGATTCACTGGGTGCCCTTTTCCGAATCACTAAACCAGGTCAAGTCTACTGGCTGACTCACCTGATTGCCATTTCCGCGGAAACAACAAAACAATCATAATGATAGTCATAATCTAAGCTAAAGGAAACAATACACACGGCGACAAATTAATTGAAAGCTGAGAAGCAACGCCGGCAGCATTAAAATGCGAAAATACCGGGCATTTGTGGCTGAATCTCGTTTGTCGCTGCTTTCCACCTGTGGCAACATAAAGAAACAGAAAGCCGCGAAGACGACACTTTCTTCCAGTTTATTGCATCAACGGCGGCATCAACGTCGAATGGCAAATGAAAAATGGAAACGGGCCGGTAGCAGGTGTCAACAAAACAGGGCAGGTGCCACAAACCCACGAAACCCACGAAACCCCAGAAAAGCCACAAAGCCAACAAAGCTAAACAAATCTGACAAAAGCCACAAACATTCGGCTGAGAAAAAAAAGTGAAATAAGCGATTTGGCAACAGCATTGCAGGCCAGTTGGTCAACAAAAGTGGCAAAGGGGGTTAAGAAAATTATGATCTTTAAGGGTGTTAAGAGGTGCGAACCTATTTTTGGGGTCCACCAGATCTCTAGTTGGTGATATAATTTGAAAAGCAAGCAAATACTGTTGTTTAATTAATAATAAATTCCCTGTACTTGTAATGCGTGACAAATCATTTCAATGCATTTCCCTAACCAATTAAATATGTAACTTTAATTGATTGGCATTTTAAACGAATTTATTTATTGCTTCGTGCAACTATTTGAAAAATGTATCTACTCAATGCCTCTATATACAATCTATTTTGGGTTAAAATATTTATGAATAACCAAGAGCAGCCAAGCGAATAAAACAGTAATTTAAGTAGCAAAATTAATACACTTTCAAGGAATTATTTATAAAGGTAATTATTCGATACTAAATAATAAATGGATTGTAAGGAGACTATCAAGTAAAAAAGTTATTTACCTGATTGAAAAATTATGAAACTTTATAAACCTATTAGCTGTAAATTATTATGATAATATTTGTTATTTTAATCTATCGATTATATTGTTTTTTAGACATTTCACATTTGAGCATACACAATCCAAACAAGTTCACAAATCGATTATGTAGTTATGTAGGCATCTGAGTAAAGATATATTGGAGAGGAAGGGGATTGTCCGAGTCGAAAGCTTGGAAAAGGTGGAAGAACCGAGAACGGAAGAAACTAATCATTTAAGAAATTATACTCGTAGAGATCTGTGGGTATTTGTGGAATGGGAAAGCCGGAAAGTTGGTGGGAAATTTACATGTGGCTTTTGATGGGAGCTATCCAATAGTTCGCACAAAAATTCGATAGATAGAAAAATAAATCTTCAAAAATCTATGTAAATGGCGAACCTATTTTGCATTTTCATTTACATTTTGATGTTAGATTCGATTTACAACTAAAGACTCATTAAATGTTGCTGTCAATGAAAAATTATTCAAAATAATTCTAATTAAAATTATAGCTTTCTTGATGTTTCCACTTAAAACAAATCTTTTCTTTGGTTTAAATATGGCAATCATGAAAAGCTTTAATAAAATTACAACTTTTATGTTGATTTTGTGTTGCCTAAAGAAAATATTAAGAAACTGTTTCACAATTATTAAGTGTTATTCCATCATAAGACTTTCAAGGATTTCCGCATTAACTTTGTTGCACTCTCAAAAAAATGTTTATGTTGGTTGCACTCCAGTTTTAAATTTTTCAATATTTTTCCAGTTCCGTATTGTTTTTCTTATCGACACCCCACTGTGACTAATTGACTTTGGCGCGCGTATATTTTTATGCCTAATTTTTGTGTTCTAGTTTGTTGTTTTGCTTGTGGCGATTTCTTTTACCTCAATTTGATGGCAATGTCGCGGCACTTGACGCATGGCACCTGGCCGGATTCCTTGACTGGTGCTGATGCACTGCCTCCCTTTTCTGGCGGGGCTATTGTGGCATACTGGGCCTCCTCGGGATTCTCCCTATCCTTCTCCTCCTCCGGCCTGTCATCCGCCTCCGTTTCGCTGGCAAAGTCCACCACCAGCTCCTCTTTGGACTCCTGGCTGGTCATTTGCCTCCGGCTGAAGTAGCCCACATGCTGATCCACTCCAGCATTGGCATCCAGTAGGATGCGCTCGTAGGCGGCGCTCTCGTTTTCGGAGAGGGCAAACCGCTGCTCAAACACCCGAATGGGCAGAGCACTCTTTCGCAGGACCTCCATCCGCTTGTGCCGCAATTCAATGGAGAAGATCAGGCGGACGCGAACCAATCGCCGGAGACCCTGATGAGTGGACCTGGCGCGCTGTAGCCTCCTGCGCTGTTGCCTCAGCTCCAATTTCTCCAAACCCTTAAGGGACTTGGGATCCACCAGGCCGTGATTGTAATCCGCAACAGAGGTGAGATCCAAAGCCGATCGGGTACGACGCCAGGGCACCAAATCAAAGTGGGCACCCGCCCAGGGATGAAAGTTCACCTGGCTAACGTTGGTGCTGCGATCCTGCTTCAAGATCCAATCCGATTGCTGCTCCTTGGTGAACCGGACGTGATCATTACGGGCCGCTGCCTGCGGCTTATGGCGTTTATATCGCGGCACTAGCGTGGCCTCCAACATCCGGGCATCCAGACCGTAATCCCGACGCAGCTGCTCCAGTTCCCTGCTGCTGGCCGTAAACTGAGCACCGTTCCACACGATCACCGGCGCACAACTGGCCATTGGATTCTATTTTTTTTGTTGTGGTTCTACGAATGTATTGTGTGTGTTTGTTCCCACCCCGAAAGTTCTTTCTTCTGATTTTTTAGTTGGCCGAAAAGCCGCTCGTTTTCCGGTTTCCGCTCGGCAATGTCGCGTTTGTCGCGTCCGCGCTCCGTGACGCCGGCGACGCAAATGTTGGCTGGCCAAAACAAAAAATATACACAAACTCCGAATCCGCAGTCGATTCCTATGCAAAAACGTTGCGCCAACTGCGCTGCCAACAAACGCCACTCATGATTAAGAGTTTTCTGTTTTCTGTTATTGTTATTGTTATTGTTATTGTGATTATGGGCTGTTTTGTTGGTGTTGCCACTTGTGAGTGTTGCTGCTTTGTTGGCTGATTTTGCAGCTTGTTGCTGCTGTTACACGAGAAAAAACTGGGCTGTCCTTTTCAATTAATCTATTTTTCTACATGCAAAACTTAAAAAATACATTTTAAATAAATCTTTTCTTTTGCAAATATTACTTTGATTTTTTATATTTCCATTTTACATTACTTTTAATGATAGCGTTTAATATAACATAATTATTCGCTAACTTAAAAATGTATGACTAATTTGCACAGAGAGTTTTTCAATGTGTGTGTGCCGACCGCTGTTGTACACTGTTTGTGTGGCGGCAGAGCACCAGTAGGGCTATTCCCTATGACCGCTTTATGGCAATAAACATTTTCTTTTAAAGATTTTTCAAAGTTTTTACTTTTTTACAAACACATAGTTGAATGAAATTTTATTAAAATATTGAGTTATCTTAAGACAATTTGAAATTTTTAGTACTTTTATGAATTTTTCATTAAAATTCCAATTTGACTCAAATTTTTTTAAAATTCAGGGCCATTATATATTTGAGTGAACTTTAAAAACACCCAATGTATCTTGGAATTTTATTAAAATATTGAGTTATCTTAAGACCAATTGTAATTTTTAGCATTTTGATGAATTTTTCATTAAAATTCCAGGGACATTACATATTTGAGTGTAGTTTAAAAACCCCCAATGGATCTTGATATAAAGACCTATTTTTTCTCTGTGTACAACTAATGTTTGCTCAACATTGGGGAGTCGGGGGCTTAGCTGCCCCCTTTGATTGTATTATTTATTTATTTTTCACGCTCACTGCCATGTCAACTCTGCTCTGGGGCAACCCTCTGCCGCCGTCGACGTCGACGTCGCTTCACTTGGCTGCGCACGCGTCAACAAAAACAACAACAACAGGCATAATAATATTAACTAAACTCCATCGTTGTTGAAATTATCGCTGCTGTTGCTAGGCCATTCAACAATTTGAGTTCACAATTCTATTCTCGGCTAATTGACAGCATCGGGCCATTGGCATTGTATCTTCTAAATTAGCCAACAATCGGGATAACAAACACGAACCAGGCCCTTTTAAGGTTAAGTATGGCAACTATATAAAGAAAACCATCCCCCACGCTTATACGAATCCCCTAAAATCAATAATAAATTGGTATATTATTTAAAAAACTTGTATAAAACTAACAAAAACTGAGTAAGTGAAAAATATAAATAAAGATAACAATGGATTGGCCTTACAAAAAAAATCTTAAAGCCATACAATTAGTACAATTTGTTTTATTTAGACCTTACAATCAATACACATATACAAATATTTAAAAGAGGAAGTAAATTAAACATGAAAAATTATCATATTTTATTCTTGCATGTACTTATACATAATAATAGAAGAATATATTTTGATATTCTTTAATTTAATGATCGTTTCTAATTTGCATCGATGGAAGTTTCATGGAAAATTGGCAATTAAATTGCAAAACATCCGACTAGTTGTTAGAGTTCTCATTGCCTTCTAAACATTTTCCACATGAAGTGCTCTTCGAACGTGAAGCATGCCAAATATCAATTATGTTTTATACTAGGCATAGCTATATTAAATAGTTTGTGCCCCCAGAACGGGCTCAACTCAAGCGTGGCGAAAATAAATGAATTGGAGGGCGGATCTGCAGCTTCTTGAGTGGCAATTGGGCAACTCCACCTGCGTTTTCCCCCCATTTTTCATTTGGGTTCTCCACCTGTGTGAGTCATGAACATTGTGTGTGCAAATGGCGTGAAGAGTTTTCATGATTTCTGGTTCAATGGCGTTCAGACTGCGGGTGTCATACGAACATTACGTGGCTTTCAGCCCCTTTAAAAACTTGTAGTTATGGAGCTCAACCTCAAACTCTGCGTAATATCTTACCCTCTGGGCCATGTGACCCACAAAGGGCAATGAAAATGAAAATGAAAATGAAAACGCCAGAGATGACAGCCATTAGTTGAGTTAGAAAGGCTGTCATTGAGTGTTCGGCAGAGTCGTAGTTATAATGCAAATATAACAGAGCACATTATAATGGAGGTCCATCCGCATTTCACGTATTTCCCATTCAAATTCAAATTCACATCTGTCTGAAGGTTGTCCAATTCGCATCCATTCAGTCCATCAAAGTGGTGTGACACACATCCCATATCAATAATATATTTATTGTATTTAGTCTTGGCTCACATTGCCCGTGGGCACTCGGCGAAAAATTGCGCAAGGATTTTGTGTTCAAAGTGTGTGTTTTAGCCCCATAAATTAGCATAAACCTAATAAGCCATTGAACAACACAGAACCGTTGGAAGTCGCTGTATAAACATTATTGTTTGCTCATCTCCACAAGAAATTAAATAACATTGTTTTAACAGATTTCTCTTGGCTAAGAGATATACAAAAAATTATTGTTTTGAAATATTATTACAATAGCCAAATTACTATTGGTAGATATGCACTTCATCTTACTAGTTATTGTCGATAAATCAAACATAAAGCAACATTTACCCTATCTTACTATATATTAATTTTTCGTATTGATATGATATTCATTTCGATCCAATAATTAAAAATACAATTAATATTAAGTTTCATAAGTAATATGAATCTAAAAACTCTAAATAATTATGTTTCTTTCAGTGTACTAAAAGCTTGGCCATTTATTCATATTATAATTTAGCTTCCTAGTATCATAGAAACTATATCATACTAGTTATTGTATTATAATCAAAACAAAAACTAAAGAATATCCATATTTACCTATAAATCTATTATTCTGTCCCACTACATAGCTTGTCTTAAGTTAATATTTTCCAAATACATAAATAAGCAAAACAAAAACACCCGAATTTAAGGTAAGTATTTTGAATCTTAAAACTCTAAATAATTATGTTTCTTTCAGTGTATTAAAAGCTAAGCCATTTATTCATATTACATTTTTTTAGCTGCCTAGTGTCATACAATCTGTATCTTACTAGTTATTGTATTATAATCAAAACAAAAACTAAAGAATATCTATATTTACGTATAAATTAATTATTCTGACCCACTACAAAGCTTGTCTTAAAGAAATATTTTCCAAATACGTAAATAAACAAAACAAAAACACCCGAAATCACCAGCGAACTAATGCTCCAGTGATTTTGAAGGGTAAAACCATAAAAAAGAAAAATAATTTCTTTTGGGCGCGCTGGAAAACAGTTTGTTCGGTGGGTAACTGTGTGCCCCACTCGGCGGATGGAAAATAAACATAAAAAGCACCACTCGCAGCAACAACAAAAGCCTTAATAGCAGTGTGGTGGGGCAATAAAAACGAAAGAAGAAAATGTAATGTGTTGATACTGCTATTCGGTTTTGATCCATTTAATTACGAATTTTTAGGTAATTGCGTAATATATTTTGATATTTAGGTCAATTTTTTGGGGATTTTTTATGAATTTTAGTAGGAAAAATATAACGATTTCCACTTGATGTTTAATTTCAAATGCATTTTAGTTAAAGAAAACTCCAACGGCTATTTTAAAAGCTCGATATCTTATTAGGAAACATTACAAACATTTTTTTAATCTTAAGTCTAAGTTAGCTTAAAAAATATTAAATGTAACGAAGCAAACTTTATTAAAATCTATCAAAGTTTACTTTATAAATATGTTGATATGATTAGTAATATTTAAAAACAGTATTAAAATATTTCTGTAAATTTAATATCTTCCCCCGCCAAATTCTTCGACTTCCGATACTCGAACTTTGCGACCTCAACTTGCATACTTTTACTTTTCGATCTATTGTTTTAATATCTTTTGTTTATATTTTTGGCAATCAAAAGCAGAACAATCCGCTAGCCTTCGATCTAACGGTAAACGCTTCGTTTTCATCTATCTATCCATCGAATCGGACAGAAAAGCTTCAAGATCTCACATCGCACATCAACATATATCTCACCCCATCCGTCAATTCAAATTCAAATTTTCGAACGGCCGAGAATCGAAACGCGGGAAGTTTTCACTTTCGTGTGTGAGATTTGGCAGAGGAGAAAGAAATGGAAGAGGAAAAGTAGAAAGCAAAAGTCTATGTGCTAAACTATTGAACTTTTGATGAGCGGTGATCTATTAAGAATTTTTGGACATCATCAGCGGATTTAAAAGCTCACACAGAAAAATAAAAGTGTAAAATTTGGCCTTTAAAACTCGTTAGTATTAAAGTAAAAAATTGACTAGAAATTAGAATATGTTTTAAATTTGTAAGTAATATAAATACAAATTCATCTATATTTATCATACTCATAATATTTATGGTCTATGTTAGTCTTAGTTTTGTATATATACAAATTCGGAAATGCTTTCGTCTTGATATCAAGAAGAAAAAGTGAGAAGAAAACATTCTCAAACCAAGAAGAATAGATCTCTGCCTTTTTTGTTCACAATTTTTCGGGTGTATAAAATATAAAATATAAGAAGTCATTAACCCTAACGCAAAATATTTGTTATAACAAATTTCTGCCTCAAAATCAATAAAAATACCAATTAAAATTTTAAATATTTTTCCCTGGTGAGATTATTTTCAGGTTTGTCCTGTATTTTATAAGTGGCAAAAAAGCAAGCTACCTCTCTTTCTCCACTATGCATCCCCATCTCTCTCAGTGAATCTCCCGTGTCATTCATATGCAAAACCAAGTTTATTCAATCACTCATTCATGCGATTCAAATGAAGTTCGTCTGTGAAAGTAAGCCATGGCA